AGAAGGTATGTCCAAGTGAGAAGAGGCACTTCTGCATCTTCCAGTGTCCTTCCCTCAGCCAAGTCGACTGCCACCCCTTCCCACCTCCCACAAGAACTGAAGCCACAGCTTAGGACGGCAGCCAGCGTGGCTCAGCATGCATGGACCACAAGACAGAGCACAGGCTCTCGCTATGCCCTACTAGGACGGCACGGAAGCAGGCAACCCGTCCGGACACCGGTCCATTCGAAAGGTCAGAGCAGGAACAGACGGGGCCTCACTCCTGGAGTCTGATGTGGTAAGCCGGGGCCTTAACAGTTCACACACTCCCATGAACACACACATACGCCGACCACCTGAGAGCACTTGGATGGGCAACGAACACCCCGGTCGAAAACCCCATGAGCACAGGGTGCTGCAGAGTGCAGCCCCCAGCACCCACCAAGGCCTGGGTTTAGTGGCTGCACCGCTCCGCAGGTGGTCGGGGAGACGAGGCCTCCAATCTCACGGGCCTCCTCCCACCTTCCCAGGAGTCTCCATCCCTGTCTCCGAGCCTCCCTCTCCCTCACCATCCAACTCTGACTGCTGCCTGGGACAGTCACCAAGTCCTCAACCCTCGCCTCTTTTCTACCTTTCCTCTCACGAAGGTTACTTGCTCCTGTGGCTTCAAAAGGAAGGACACAGTGAAAAAAGGACAGTGAAGTTAGCTGGTCATCACGCACCGGCCCCCTCACAAGCAGGGGCCTCTCTCCCTGTGGGAGTCCGTTTCCGCTCCAGTAAGACAGGTCCAGCTCCCTCACTGGCTGTCAGCCCGCAGCGCAGGGCCCAGCCACTTCCTGACCGTCCAATGTCTCCCCTATCGGCCCAGCCTCTAGCCTCCTGAGAAAGTTGTCTTCTCCAGCAGACCTCACCGCAGCACTCTGCGTGCGGGCTGGGCAAAGGATGGCAGGTAAATGGAGATGAAGCGCCACTGTAGAGGGGAGTCGGTTACAGAACACCGGTGGGGAGGAAGAAGAGCCAGGGAGAATGCGACAAGGTGTTGTGGGAGCAGGGTCCTCCGTCAGTGAGCATCACTGCATGGGGCTGGGAGGGAGGTGAGTACTCAGCAGGGCACCGAGCGGTTCCATGCCACCCTCAGCACGGCTCCCTGGAGCACCCAGCACAGCGCACTCTGGGTGGAAACTGGTCTGCGGTGCCCATCAGACCCCGAACCGGGCAGGGACTGTCTCTGGTTCCCCACTGTGTCCACGAGTCCTCGCACAGCGCTTGGGACAAAATAATTACTCAAGAAACGTGTGATGAGAGCGCGCGTGCTTCCAATCCGGCGCGGGGATGACAGGACGGAGTCCCTGCTAGCCGGGCACCAGCGGGGAGCGGGCCCACGCCTGTGGATGCCTGGAACCAATTCCGCCCTCCCCACCGGGCCCGGTCCCTGCACGCACGCCCGGCAGCCCCTTCACCCAGGCGGAAGGAGAGACGCCATCAGTGCCAGGAGCCCCGCCTTCCAGCTGGGACCACCAGCGCACCCCTTCGGCAGAAGGGAACGACGGCCGCCTGGATCCGCCCGGAGGCCGTGGCTCGCCGGGGCCTGGCGGGCCGCCCACCAAGGAGCCGGGCTCGGCGCGCCGCACGGCCCCCAGGACGCGCCCCGGGCCCTCCCGCGTCCGCCGGAAGCTACAGGCCGCGGACCGGAAGCTGCGGCCGCGACCCGGCCCCCGCCTCGAGCCCGCCCCGCCTCACGCGGCCGAAGACCCCGGGGCCCGCAAGCGACAGTCGCGCCCCTGTAGGGGGCCCTTGGCGGCCGGGCAGGAGCCCACTCCCGCCAGCCGAGCGGAGGCCAGCCTTCACTAGGAGCTCACTTACGAGAGCGATGGTCGCCGTCGCCATCTTGCGTCCGTCGCGGCCGCGGCGCGCACCACACGCTCCCGCTCCTTCTGCGGTCTCGCGCGATGTGGGTGCTGGCGGAAAGGCCCAGGGAAAACGGAACTATCGCGATGAACGGTCCCTTCCCAGCGACGTGGAAGGAGAGAGTAACGCGCTTCCGGGGCGGGAGGGGCGGAGCCTAGGAGGATGGGGCGGGGCCGTGCGGGCGCGCGCCGCCGGCCAAGGACCCTGAGGCTCCGTCCCGTCGGCTGTCTCTCGCTTTGTCCCCCTTCCTCTAATGGCCGCCGCTCTATTTCTCTGCCTCCTCCTCAGGGAAACGTAGGTTCTGTCCCCGCGCTCGCACCCCAAGGGAAGGACAGAGAACGGCCTGATTCCCACCAGGGCCGAAGTGGTCCCATCTGCCCAAACGATCAAGTTGAGGGAGATGACACACCATCGCCCCGTTTCGGAGTCGATCTTGAAATACATCTTTTTTGCATCCTCACATCTCAGAAGTCAGGTCGCGCCTGCCAATGGATGGCGTGTCCTCATTTAGTTGGCAACATATTTTATTCCCTAGTGACTCATGAAACACTAGTGCATCTTAAAAAGATGGTGTCGCAGACTCAATCACGTACAGTCGGTGGAACTGCAACCAGAGACAGACTTGCATGCACGCAGAGTCCCTCAGGCCCCGAACTAATTCTTCAAGGCTCAAAGCCTCTATCTCGGCGTGGAGCTTCCCTGGAGTTCTGCCACATGCCACACCCAGTCCCGAGACCCTGACGCGGAGAAGAAACCACATGGGTCCCCGGGACCCCGAGGCTGTCAGCCCGGCAACTTCGGCCTGCCTGAGGCAACAAAGTGCCTCCGGGGCTAGGCAGGTCTCAATCCTGTGAGAGTACGATGAAACAGACACAGCTAGTTAAACATGCAGAACATTTTCCTCATCTCCCTGCCCTCTAAAATGACGGGGAAAGGATTTTATAAGCGCAAAAACCCATGAAGACGAAGAGGTGGAATATCGTGGAGCCAGAGGGGTGCGGACTACGGGAGCTGCTTCCGCAGGCTGCGGGTCAGTGTCCGAGGGATCATGCATGGAAGTGCAGTTAAGAAAGGGGGAGACCCCGGACTTCACTCCCTCCCCACAATGGCTGGGAGGTGAGCTCCAGCACAAGTGCTCTGAGGGCTGGTCACCAGGGCAGGCTTCCGTTCCGAAAATGGAAGAGTGAGTGAGGTCCCTGCCCTTTCTACCCCTCCTCCCCTGGCTCCAGGTGCCCCCAGCATGTGCCACCTGCTCCCCTCAGAGAGGATCATTCCCCTCTGCAGCAGCTCCCAGGGCTCAGGAGACTGGCCTGGCTCGATCCCCCTGCCCGGCCTCACCAGGCAACAAGCCCCTCCCCGCACTGAGAACATCTCACTCTTAAATGCAACTGGCAGTCTAGGATCACCGGACACTTGAGCAAAAGGAAAAAGACAATAAAGGAAAGGAACAGAGACAATAAAGCAAGAAGAAAAGTTAAAATCACATCCTCAGATATACTGGAAGATGTTGCATCCAAAAACAAGAACAAGGGGCCGTAAAGAACATTCAGCAACTGAGAAAGAGCTTACAAATGAAAAAACTACGAGAGGAAAATGAATAATTCAATGGAAGCATTTAAAGATAAAGATGAATGTATAACAGCACCAGATAGCTAGGAAACAGTCATAATCGCCCTGGTCAGTCCCCTCAGTGCCTGGGACTCATCTGGCTCCTCAGAGGCCTCCATAACAGGAATGGACCACGGTGGCGGGTAGGCCGGGATCGGCTCGCCTCCATCACAAGGGGATGGGGATTGCACAAGCACGCTCTGGTGGCAGCTTCCCTTGTGAAGTTTGACGTGTGATGTGGCATTCAGAATGCTTGTGGTCGGCCACTGTCCTCACATCACCTCACTCCACACATCACCTCATGTGATCCTTACGACAGCCCCTGGCGTGGGTACCACTATTATCCCCATTGTTTACAGATGACAAAGTGGAGGCACAGACCAATATCACGTAGTCGGAGGCCGCAGGATGGCTCTAGAGCCTGCAAATGTACTGGCCCTTAGCCGTTATGATTGCACCTCTCAAAGGTTAAGTCTAATATCTAAACAATGAGTTTCAGAGAATGAGTAATCAACAAAAAAGTAAAGAAAAGTTTCTAGAGCCGAAGGGGAGAGAAAGACAGGCAGACGGACAAAGGGTCAGACTCAGGCACAGGAGTTTTTTGGGACTAGAAGAAAATGATAATCCCTTAATATCTTGGCAAGAAATCATTTTCGACCTAGCTAAACTTTTGTACCTAGTTGCACGGACAAGCAGATATGAGAGTAGAAGGACAAACAGGCGGACTCCATGACTTTCCCCGCGTCCTCTCCCAGGAAACTTGGAGGTTATTCTTCCTCAAACGGCAAATAAGAGAGAAGTATGGGATCCGGAGACCAGAGCTGCTCCAAGATGCTAACCGAGGAGTAACCCATGCTGACAGCTCACCAGAGGCCCAAGAGCAAGCAGCCTGGGGCAGAGCCACATGGTGGAGATTCCAGGAACGGATGAAACGGAACAGTCAACTATGCAACGAATCCCAAGTACTGAGGGGAGGCTCACCCTTCTGCAGGAGACTCTAAGGATGAATTGAGATGTGTACAGAAAACTAAACAGACAAACAAAGGCAATTATTAACTCCAGGGAAAACAAAAAGTTGTGCAAGAACGCAAATATAATCCTAGGACACCTTGTTCTCTGCTAAGACCCGTGGGAATGAAGCCGTAATAATACTCATCGCCTGGGATGATGCTGGGTCAGGGGACCGAGGCCAGCAAACCGTCCCCCTCCCCCTGGAGGATGCCAGCAGGAGTCACCTAATGTAGAAAAACTGATAATAAAAAAAACAACAGTAAAAGCATGTGTGTGGTTTGTGAAACACAGATACTAAATGCCTGAAGAAAACGGTTAAGAGATTAAATTTGGAAAGGATGAGGGCTGGAGACCGCATTTATTATTTATTTATTATTGGCCCAAAAAGAAATTCCACTTTTCAAATAGTATGTATGTATGTAGCTTTAAAAAGGTAAAAGTTAACATGAAAACCTCAGTATCGTCCTGATTAAATGAAGCAGCAGCAGAGCCCGCACTCCTGAGTTCAGTTTAATCACTGGTCCAGCCCATCACGTGTTTGACACTCAAACTGTTTCAGAGGACGCAGAGCCACACGGCTCAGGATCAGGATTAACAACTAGGCCTGGAAGTTATTTCAGACTTGCAACCTTAGGTTGAAAGTGTGAGCACTTGAATAAGTTTAGAAGGAGTATTGAAATGTTTACTATAACTTGAGAGTTACTACCTTTGTACATGTAGTTTATTTGATGTGCCTCGGTGAGTCTGTTTTGTCTTGGGTTTTGGTTAGGGTGATGTGGTGTGGTAGCTGGACTGAGGACACCCCAAAGTCCATGCCCTGACCCCAGAACCCCTGGGAATGGGACTTCACATGGCAACAGGACCTGGAGATCGGGAGACCGTCCTGGATTACCCACCCCGATGGACTCGGCCTAATCACATGAAGCTTCTCTGGCTGCAGAAAACCAGACATACGGTTGATGAGATAGACTCCACCCGCCGTTGCTGGCTTTAAAGATGGAGGACAGGGCCATGAGCCAAGGAATGTGGCAGCCCCTAGAAGCTGAGAAGGGCCTTCAGATTACCACAGGCGAGTAACTGGGGACCTTGGCCCTACCCCTGCAAGGAAATGGATCTCTGCCCAGTGCGGAGCGCAGCAGCTGACACCTGCAAGTCAACAACCAGCCCGGCAGAGCAGGAAGGAGACTCTCCCCTAGAACCTGCAGAAAGGAATGCAGCCTGGCTAACGCCTGGATTTCGGTCTGCTGAGACCTGTGCCAGACTTCTGATCTACAGAACTAGAATAAATCTATGTTGTTTTAAGCCACTACGTTTGTGGTTAATTCTTATAGCAGCAACAGAGAATTAATACAGTGGTGAGCTTTCTCGGTTTGGCATTTAAAATGCTTTAAAAGAGCCCTGAATGCACTAAATTTATACATGCAATCTAAAATGTTTAAGAATATTTAAATTTGAAAATGGAAGGGATCCAAGAGAATCGAGGACAGGGCAACAGAGGGTGGGGGGCAGGAGGGAGTTGAGCGGGGGAGACTGGGAGCTGGGAGCCGCTGTCCTCAGGACCCGCGGTGGGGGGTCTGCCCTCAGAGGAGGCGAAGGTCACTGGGGTGGGTGGTAAGCTTGGGAGGAGCAGGGAGGACGCGTGACCCCAGCCCTCCAGGGAATGCGGAGAGAAAAGAGCCCTTTGGAGGGGCTGCGGGGGCCAGGGGAGCCTCTGGGGAGGAGGCGGGTGCTGGCTTCAGAGAAGCGCAGCTGGAGCGGGCCTCCGGGACAAGTGTGCTGGACACTGGACGGGGTGCAGAGCCACGTGGTGCCGGCGACAGGGCCTTCTTGGAGCGTCCTGCTGTCTGTTTCTCCCATCAGGTCCTGGCCCTGCCCAGCGCCCAGCACCGTGTCTGACACCTACAGGTGTTTCACCATCGCCTGGAGGCGGGGGCTCCCTGTTTGTGTCTGGGTACCACCCAGGGTGGGGCACTGCCCTCAGCAGATGTCTGTCCATCTGTCCAGGGCTGACTCCCCCAGCTGTGGCTCCCTACAGGGTGGCCGCCCCCGTGCGCAGGGCTCAGCCACTGACCAGACGACCTGGTGTGGGCCGGGACTCTCGGCCAGGAGACGGAGGATACGGGGAGGACCGGTGAGTTACAAGTGGGGCCTGACCAGCCCCCCACCCACCCCGGGATGGCTCCCCCGCCCTTGTGGGCCCAGCCCACCACCCTCACCCCCAGGGACTCTTGGCAGCTGTGCAGGGCAGAGGTTCCTCACTGGCAGGCGTTTGATTCTTGGCCTCCAGGCCGGCAGGCGGAGGGCAGGCCCTGGTCCCTGACACTTATGAGCCCCACGGTGCTTGAGGAGGGCACTGTCCAAGAAGGTGGCCAGCTTGGCCCGGTCTTCCTGCAGGGCAGGAAGGAGGCGTGGGGGGACGGAGGGGCACGGCCTACCCTCCGCCCTCCCCGCCCGGCTTGCGCGGCCTGCACACCTCGTGGACGAAGCCGTAGTGCACCAGCTCAGCTGCGAGGTCCTGCGCGCTGTCAGCTGCGGCGGGGACACGGGCAGGGGCGTGGGGCGAGGCGTGAGGCCACCGCTGCCTGGCCAGCCCAGCCCAGGGTCCCCACCCAGGGTC